CAAAAAAAGCCACAGTAACTTAATCTTTACATTCTTACAATGAGAAGCAAATGGTCAATGACAGTCACAATTCACCAATCACTGGAAAAAGTCAACCAAACAGATATAAAGGGAGGTACAGCTTGAAACTCCAACCAATATACACCAAAAAGTACCCTTTTATTGCACATTGGTGACCACAGTCTTCACCTACATTTCCTGTGTTTGACTTAATAAAAAGTTTCTCAAAGGCTGCAAAGCTAGTTGCATATGCCCTAGACTAGATAAAATATTCCAGAATTCTTAACTCTCATTTTTCTTTTAATATCATAGTGTGCCTCTTTTCTGAAGTGTAGCTTGCCTGTTATTAAATCTCTAAAAATAATTTATTGCTTTAAAAGTAAGTATAAGAATGTGGTTAGCAATTTATTGATGAGTACAGATTGAAAGATAAACTAACAGATGATAGAAATCCAGAACAGCAAGACAGAATAACATAACCAAAAAGGCGTTTGGGACCTCGGAATATACCTATTGCTATATCATCTGGATCCTGCTATTAAAATGATAAAATTTCACAAACGTGCTTCTAGGAAAATACTATTAGCTATAATACTATGTTCCTGTTTTATTTAGTGGTAGTAAAAATGAAATGAACACTAATAAAAATACTTAGCATTATTTTAAACAACCCAATTTCTTAAGGAGATACAGGTTTTCTATCTCAAATATGATTTCCCCCTATCAAATGAATCTGAAACCAATTGTTAATTCATTAACAATGCAACTGTCATTAAAATCACAAATTCTGCTTTCATCAGTCTTTATAAATTTGCTCCATTTTTTAAGAGAAAAAAGAGATTTCCAAATCTCCATTGAACTACTGAAGCTTTTAATTTTAACACATAAAAAAATAGCAGCAACCCTATGTGAATAGAAGTATAAAGCAAAAAGTTACTGGCTTGCCTTTTAAGGCAGGCGGTGTATAGATTTATTATTAGTGAGGTTCAAAGGTGAAACCTAAGAAAATGCTGGACACTTTGAAGGAGGGGCTATCTCAGCCAGGGGTCACATGATAGCTGCTAATTGGAAAATGTTAAAAAGGGAAGGGGAAAGGGCATAGTTTCTGCCTACTCTTCTTTCTTTATTGCAACATTTGATTTGCTCCGGAAGAAAAATAAAAAATAAAGGCTAAGATTTGTATAACTTTCAAAAGAGGTCTAAAATAAACAAATCACCCCCAGGTTGACTGAGTGCAGCTAACATTCCATCGAGGCTTTCTTGCAAAACAGAAGACAATATATTGAATTTTCAAATAAAACTATATTTCTATAGTGATTTTTAAGTGAAAACAACCTAATCCCCAAGCTAGTTAAATGTTTTTCTGCTATTACATTTACAAAATTAAAACATTTGCCGGGCGCAGAAGCTCATGCCTGTAATCCCAGCACTTTGGGAGGCCAAGGCGGGCAGATCACCTGAGGTCAGGAGTTCCAGACTAGCCTGACCAAAATAGTGAAACCCCATCTCTACTAAAAATGCAAAAATTAGCTGGGTGTGGTCGCACACGCCTGTAATCCCAGCTACTTGGGAGGCTGAGGCAGGAGAATCGCTTAAACCTGGGAGGCGAGAGTTACAGCGAGTTGAGATCGTGCCATTGCACTCCAGCCTGGGCGACAGAGTGAGACTCCATCTCAAACAAACAAACAAACAAACAAAATTAAAACACTCTTCATTATATTGCATGGGATTTTATTTCCTGTTTTGTCTAAATGTTAATTTATATTGAAAGTATGCATCTTTTCTTAAACTATTTTGTGTTGCCTTTTTAAAGAATATTTTCAGAATTGACACACTTCTAGAGGATAAATCAAACAGTGATAATTTGGTATTTCAAATTATAAATGAGTCCATTACTAAAAGAAAGCTGCATATCTTTAAAATCTTTTAAATTTTCTTATTTATTATTAATAGACAAGTCATGGCATTAATTTCTTTACAAAGTACACATTTTCTGTATCTCTACAAATACTATTTCAGAATCCTTAAAATGTATTCTTCTTTATATATACAATTTCTATATTTAATTCAGAATGATGAACAAAGTTTTTCATGATTAATGCTAATAATTTATTGACATGAAATAGGAAAGTAATAACCCATAGCTGGATTTAAAGTTGAATTTTTGACACCATTTTGATTGTGTACAATAGCTGCAATTACCTGCACCACTCATTCTGAGCCACTAGATGGTGTAAAAAAATAAACTGAAAGGTAAAATTTCATCCCATCATCACAAAATCTAAATATAACTCTGAAAAACTCAATTAAACACATTGCGAGACATCTAAAAATGCTAGTGATTTCTATACTAATTGTACTTAATTTGTAATAATATCAAGCATTCAGAATTGCAGTTATTCACATATTAAATGAATTTATGGTATTAACTTACAGTCTGAGTTTGCCAAAGTTTTGATAAAACTGGAAGGCCAAGTCAATAAAGACTACTAGAAAGTCTCAAGAGATTCCTAGCTGAACCTGTCTGAAGGAAGGTGGGGAAGTAAGTCTTCACAAATATATACTCAATCCAAAGCAACCTGTCTATTTGCAGCCAAGATACCCATCAATAGCTCAGAATATGTCCAAATCTCATCAAGGGAAAGCTAAATGTCCTCTCCTTTTTACCCTCACCAAGATTTACCAGGTTGATTCCACTAGGTCCACAGCTGGGTAACGATGAACACTGAACCTTATTCAGCCAAAGGTAATAATGTGCTGGCTAACATGGTCTTCTTTCTTGGCTCTTTTTTCAAACACCAAAATGAACCCTGGGTAGATTACTCATCTCTAGAAGGCCCTTAATAAATATGATCATGATGGTGAAACTTCAAGCCTTGCAAAACACTGGCAGAGGAAGTACTTTTGATCAGCTCTCTCCCAAATAATAGCATTTAAAAATGTTAGATGGAAGTATGTGCTTTCCATGGGCTGGAACATCTTTAACCTTTGTTCTCCAATCAGGCTTCACAAATAAAATTAGTTTACATAAAATAGGAACTGCCTCCTTCAGAATCCTAAAAGTATGATACATACCTATGATTATACTTTTAATTTCATGTTAACCAAAAATTTTTTCCTGAGGCAACAATAGAAATAAGATATGCCTATGGTTGCTTGTTTCACAGCCAGTTCTGGAAGCTGGTGCTCTACCTAGGCTTTCAGCAACAAAGACAACCTGATTCAAAAAGAAGGTTTTACAAATAGATCTACATGGGCTTTATAAATTTCATATTTACAAAAGGAGTATAATGGCTATATGCCACTCACTCCTATAATCTGAACTTGCAAGTGAAATCTAATCAACGTTTTAGTTTTATACACTGCAGCTAAATTGGTTTTAAAAAGACTGTGGGCTATATAAATTTAGGAATGATTCCAAGAAAGTTTCTTGACAGGAGCTGAAACTAATCAGTTTGACTGCTTTATTAAGTAATTAACTCAAAAAGCTGTCATCTTAACTCAGGACAATTTAATGCTCAATAACAGACTTAATCAAGAGTTGTGACATAACTATCTATAGCGTCCAAGAACCTAAAACATCTTTCTGGAACAACAGTAACAAAACTCCATGCTAATGAGCAGAAGACTGAGAGAAATAAAGTGACCAGTCTTAGCTTTGGGCACCCTAACTAGCAATTATCACAGTCAGCTTTATTTATTTTATCACAGTTGTCAGAATGGGTCCTGGCACACTGCAGGTGCTTTATGATGGAAGGGAGGAAGGGAGGGAGGGAGGGAGGGAGGGAGGGAGGAAGGAAGGAAGGAAGGAAGGAAGGAAGGAAGGAAGGAAAGGGCACAGGAAAGAAAACAAAGGGAAAAGCACTGGTCTGGGAGTCAAGGCACAGCTCAAGTCATGACTCTGGCATTTTCTTGACCCAAGTTCCTTCATCTATAAAACCAAGAATTAGATTATCATCATGGAGACTCATCACTCTAACATTCGATGATTCTCTGTGTTATGATTTTATGCACCAGCCATCTAGTGTTAAAATTCAGTATGTGACCTTCTTTCCAAATTGTCTTCTGCATTTAACAAGTCATACTATCTCTCTGAAAAGTCCAAAATATTTCTCTAATCAAGAAAGAAGCCACATCAACCTTCTAGACTTATGATTTGACATTTTTCTAGTTATATTTCAATTGTTTTGTTTCTAAAGTAGTCTTGTAAGTAGACAGAGGGAAATTTTTAAATTCCCATATTACAATAGGGGAAATTAAAATATGAAAATTAAGGGAGCTCATACACATTACCAGAAGTATAATCATGATAAGAAACTTGACTTTTAGATCTAAGGACAAAAAGATTCTGAATAATCCAGTATTTTAAGAAGCAGATACAAGAATTTATATACACACATACACATACACACACACACACACACACACATATATATATAAAAAGATGGGTTTATAGAATTATACTTTGCCATTTTGTTTACAAATATAGTATGCTAAACAACTTAAAAAATTACCTAAGCCTGTCTGAATAGAAAAGCATTGCTTTTAAATTGCCGGAACACCCAATGTATTTACATAAAGATGAAAAACTTGTTCTATAAACATAGTGTTTCCAGTAGTGAATGGCAGACAAAATCAGAATAAGCACACAGAAGAATAAAAAGGAAGAGGAAAGAAAAACATAATAAATAATCTAATACATTACAATGTTAACTTTCACATAAGTATATTGTTTCTGGAGAAGGCAGTAGGTGGATGTCAGCCAAGGGCTGAAGTGATAGGTAAACACACTGTTAAGTTGAATCCTGTTATCTGATTGTGTTTAAAATTTGATTACATTTCACTTGACAAAATAATTAATTATTGTGAACTCCCAATTGTTAACAAGGACCTAGAAGAATTCCAATTGGCATTTTTCCCTAGCGCTATAAATCCAAATGCATTAAAAATCGAGCTTTGTATTCCCTCTTTACAAATGTCATTTTGGGGTATCTTCTTACCTTGCTAAGAATGTAAATCACATCACCACGCTTAAATGACAACTCATCAGAAAAAGCTCCAGTACAATCCCACAATCCCTGGTAAAAATTAGCATAATCAGTGCTCTTATCCCCTAGGAAGAAGAAAGAGAAAGCATGAATTAGGGCCTTCATGTAATAATCCCTCATTTCAAAATAAACCAATAGAAATTAAACGATGCCCTAGATCACCAAAATAGTCTAAAAAAATTCTGTCCTGAGTAAACGAATATTTTATTACATCCACATGAATCCTATACCTCACTATCCTCTTAAGACCACTTGCAAAAAGATCTGATTTTGAATTTTGGCTTTTCTTTTTCTGCCTTTCATCTAAAATCTGTAATTGCTATATGCTGTCATCAAACCAGCACCTAAAAGTTGCTTCCCACTTATTTTAAAAAAGAAACCTAAGCCCACTTGCAACATGTTTTGAAGATGTGTCTGCCACACTTCACAATGAGCAATATCCATGAGATGTGACAGGCTTTGTGAAATAACCATCTCACAGAATTTGAGACACTTCATGAAAATAATAATAGTAAAGGAGCTAATGTACAAATATAAAACCAAAACTAAGGAACCAAAATAAAAAAAAAAACAAAACTAAACTAAACCCTAGAGCTGGTTAATGAAAGACAACTACGTGGAAACGGTATAAAGAGTAATTGCAGCAATTTTCCTCAGGGACATTCGTACCCAAAGCCAAAGTTATCTTTGACATTTTTTAGCAACTTTGAAATTGCCAGTGTTGAAGCTGCATTTTTCAACAGATTTTTGTCAGCTCCAGTTTACGACATTAGGCTCTGAATAAACATGCAACATACACTAGAGTATCAGCTCATCCTTCTAACAGCATAAGCACAATGGATGTGATGTGCTCAAACTGCCATACAGACCATTAACTGATTGATTATTTAGCACTTTCCACTCTGTAATACCACAATAAATGGGTAATAAATGCTTTGTCACTTATGCAGTGCGGATCTCCTGAAATACAGAACACAGTTAAACACACTAGACGCTTTTGTTACACTAAGAACTGTTTCCTGTTTTTAATTTCATGATAATTGAGTTTTGATGAGTTAACACAAAAAGAATGCAAGTAATATCAATAAGATGTCCATGTGTTCACTAGCCAGGCAGAATATATACGTGCTAACAACTTCCATTCCTGGAATGTCATCTTTGAATTCTGAGGGGATAACTGTGGAGACACATGCTGGACCAGAGTTGTCATCTCAGTACTGTTACATGGCTCTCAAACAGCAGGCTTTTTCGTGATTCCAACACAACTAGTCACATTAGCATGTCATTAGGGTGTTCATCTTATTATACATTATTGTGATTTATACAAAGTATTAAGTTTACTAGAAAACTTTAAAATTCTCTTTAATATATGAAATATTTTAAGGCCAAAAAAAGGAGAATCTGCATAATATGGAGTCTGAATATTTAGGAAATAGAATGTTACTTTTCGCTTATAAGAAAATAAAGATGGACTAGAAAATATACAACCTAGCAAAATCCCTCTATTAAATTTTGTCTCTTGTTTTCTAAGAATTAAAAAAGAGAATGAGGGACAATGGGAGTGGGGAGAGGAGGAAGAGAAAGGAGGAGGCAGTGGGAGAGACAGATACCTTATTGACTTCTCCACACTAGCATTTGAGCACTCATCACATACCAGCAGGGATGTATACAAGCTTGGGAATCCAACCAAGAACTAACAATGCTTGTGGCCACTCTTCATTACATTTTTTTCCCCAAAGCATGTATTAAGTAAATTCTAAAAATGGACACTAGAGGGCACTCCAGCTGGCCAGATCATTTCAAATATTGTCAATTTTTTTAAAAGAAAAAAAAATCACTTAATAATAAAGTGACTGATTTCCTTTAAAAACCACTTATTTAGACAAATAGAGATTTAGAAGTTGAAACATTCTAGTCAGATTAAATCAACTGGTAAATGGGTCAAATGTTGTGCCCCTTGCAGTCCGTCAGTGTCAGTTTAAAAGTCAGGGAATTAGAGCAAAGAGAGGATGACATCATTTCACATGCAAGGCCTTCCCCCACAGTAACTGGCCAGGAGGTAAAAGGATCTAAATGGCTGGTTTCTTTAGTCTGTCCTCCCCATGCTGCTCAGCCTTAGGCTTGCTCCAAAAAAGTGGAAGAAACAAAACTTGGGCTAAAAACTAGAGTAGAGGTTTTGGCTTAGCTATGTTGTCCCATTGGGTTCCCCAGCTGTCCAGGCTGCTTTTCTGTTTTTCAGATTCACTTACAATAGTTTTTCATTCAACAGATTCTCAAAGGGGAGGGGAGAGAAAGAAGGAAAAGTATATGGTGATTTCTAACACATAATCCTTATCACTTTGGGGTCTCTCTTCCCCTCGATACGCTTGCTGAAACTCCCATTAACACTAATGGGAGTTACAGGAGCACATGAGGGGAAGAGAGACCCCCACCGTGTGCAAGATGCATCTCTCCCTAGATGTGCATCATGAGCATTTCATTAAATCTCACTGCTGTAAAGAGGCAACAGAGCTAGCGATTTGGCAATGCTGGGAAAAAGATGCATTTTCAACTGTGCTTTCTATAATCTTGATGATGATGTTACCCAAAGACCAACCTCATTTTTGTGTCCCATATGAGAGATCTGTTAAAGAATAATTTGTTTATGTCACACAGCTATATACATGTATGATTTACTAGTCTATCTATTTCAGCATGCAATACTAGTTATAAAGCAGAAAAATCATAAGTAGGGGGGAAAAAACCCTGGCAGTATATGTTTATTAGCCTTAGTCTCCCTCAGGGAAGTAATGTTTGAATTCTTGATATGAAATCTGGACACAAAAAATCAGAAACGGTCCTGTTCCTTAGAGAGCAGCAATCTCCTCTAGCTTACTTTTTAAAATTTAAAGTGTAGCTAAACATACACAAAAAATTAAGCACAGACAGCCTCAAAAGCACAGTAGGTTTGCAAAAGTTAGCACTGTTCACCTCTAAACACTGAAAAATAATACAGTTGAGATATGTATTTTTAAAGATGGGATGAGGCAAATGTCATAAACATGTATTTTAAAGCACAAATTTATGTCTGGTTGTCTTTACTACATGGATTAATTTTCCTATTCTATCCACATCGTGATTTGTATTTTCAAAATTACAAAAAAAACTCCCACATTATGTTTCTTGTCCTGAGAAGCATGAATGATTAAAAAAAGAAGGAAAAAAAATTAATTAGCCAGCCTGTGAAAGATTAAAACAGTGTTCTTACTCCTGCTTTTAAAAACATACAAGAAGAGACCATTGGGCAAAGCTAACAGAATTGTTATGAAACACGTAGACAGAGGAGACACTTTGCAAAGATGAAAAACATGATGACCACGGGTGAAACATATGAGAATAAGACAGTGGAGAATCTCTCCTTTGGTGTTACAAGGTTTAAAAACTATTTTAGAAAGGTAAATATATTCTATAGTGTTCAACAAAATCAAATGGAATCTTTATTTTATATATATACTCACCCACATACTGCAAGATATATAAGTTTGAACATGAAGGAACTTGTAAGAAACACAAGATTAATTTTGTTTTTGCTTACATACTTTACATTAGAAAAGTCTGTGGCGGGGGGTTTAGTAAAATCAGTCAATGTGAAAAATATATAACATTCTTGAGTAAGGTTAGAAGTTCATGTCATGTGATGCTCAGCAAGATAGTAATACCCTTGTCAACTCACTGCCCTGCGTGGCAAACAAACTTCTAGTGTTACATCTTTGACAGCCTAGGGAAGAGCAAAGGTCACTTCTATGCAAAAGCATTAAAACTGTTGCTTGAAAAGAATTTCATGTCACTAAAGATAAGAATTATTGTAGTGTTTTATAGCTATTGCATGAAAGGCTAGATCTATTTACTGCATTCCTTTGAGGAAAACTGATTTTTTTTCCTACCCTCAAAGGCAAAAATTTGGGAGATGTTTACTTTAAAAGGGCTTTTGAAAAATACAATTGCTTTAAGCCAAAATATTTGTATCTATGGAAGGACCATCTGTATGTATCCACTTTCTATACCAACACTGAAATTTTTTAAAAAAGAAAACTACATGTTTTTGGCAGAAGTTTCATGATACATAACCCAAAACATATATACTTAAATTACTATTGAACACAGTCCTCAAGATTTCACTAAGCCTCAGTGTTTTATAGCTGCATTTTATAGGACTAGAGTGCTAACATGTAATGATTTTGTTCTCACTTCCTTTCTGAAAAAACACTAACCAAAACCTTTTGTAGCAACCTACTTCTGCTTTCCTGTCCAGGTCTAGAATCAGGCCTCTGTTTCCTTTCCACATGTCACAGTAGGAAGGACTCTGGAAAGCTACTTCCTGAACACACACTTCTTGTCCACCCGGCCTTGACAGCTTGAAAGAGTGATGTATGGACATATCAGAGAGGGGAAGGTGACCCTAACTCTAGCTTTTTGCAAGACACAGAGATGATATGGCAGACCTTGCCCCAGCTGACATGTGGCTATGAAGAGGTGTAAAGTCCTGATAAGAAGGCAGTCTTTCTCTTCTTTCCGTGTAAAATAATTGCTGGTTTATCAAAACTAACCTCATGCTTGCACTACAGATATGGTTTATCTCCTGCTATTTGGAAATAACAACAAGCAAGAAAAGTTGTCCATATCATGTGATTTTGCACAGAGTGTATGCAATTATTTTTCCAGTCTCATTCATAATTAGTACTTGGGGATATATGTGCCAAGTGGAAATGGATAAGGGAAACATCCTTCCTAGCCTTTTAGGCCACCAGTGTCCTTTTCCAATTTTTAAGCTGCTGTCACTGGACTCTGGCATTTCTTACCCAATTCATTTGCTTTCTGTGTTAATCATATGCAATGAAGATATGCATGGCCAACATTTAAACAGGCTGCAGATCAATTAGCGGTCTTAAGTTTATCTGATTTTTATCAAAGAAGACAGAGCTGTGGGTCGATTGTCAGAGCCTGTGTCAAGTTGACCTTTTCAGAGATGTCTACATTGCCAGTCCCCTGGGCAACTTGTTGTCCCCTGTTAGTCTCTGAATGGCAGAAGTCTGTTCTGCTCAAGCACAAAGTATACACAGATGTCTATATTACATTCTTATAGGTTTGACAGCAACTGCATGTTGTATCTATAAACTGTCCTTTAGCAGTGACACTTCCTCAATGATGATAAGCTAATTTATGCAACTAAATCTCCTTTGTGCAGAAATGAAAGCTAATTGAGTCATTACAAAGTAATTCAGGAAGGAATACCTTGTATAAATTGGCTTACTTTATAAATCCTTCTCAAGTGGTTTTCATGCATCCTAAATGGGACTAAGCAGCTTATCAGCCATAAGATATCCAGGCCAAACAAGCCAACTTTGGGGAGCTGTGTAAACATCTTTAGAACAGTAAGAACATGGATAAAATGAAAGTGAACAAAAGCAAAATAAGGTTTGCCAAGAAGCTACACAATTCATTACCTGAGGTGTGATGAACACTATCCTGACTCATCTTCCTTTGTTCTTCCACTTTCACTGGAGCACTGTCCTCTTCTTCTTCTGTAAATAAACATTATCAATGGCACACTGAAGGGTTTTCTCAGGGATAACAATACAGTACTCACTCCATTTGAAAAGCCAAACTAAAAGTTTATAACACATAAACATTATTTTTCAAAGAATAAAACAATTCAAGATTCACATTCCTTTTTCAACAATCTAACACTGAATAAATAAAATACTAGCTACTGCCAAATAGCAACCTTTCCAACTGGCTTGGCAAAATTTAAGATACGTACTAATGCACTGCATATTTTGTTTTAAATACTTTTAGAAACTCATCTGGAACAATCTTAATTTCAGGAAAGCCCTTAAATCCACCAAAGTAACACTCAGCATTATACTGATACACCACATTATACTGTGTGGCAGAAGTATCATATATAAAATCATGGTCCCTAAAACATCATATAGCAAGGAGAAAATGTGTTAACCTATAAATGTGTAAACCTAAAAATGCAGTTAACCTATAAATCATTTATTGAGTATCATATAATTTCATGTTTTCTCACTTACTCTTCACAGGAAGATACTATAAGGATCCTCATCCTTCGAGGTAATTCCCCCAAAATTATACCGAGGACCTATTATGTGTCATATACAATGGTGGATGTTAAAATCTCATAGACAAATAATTTTTAATCCTCATTCTACAGACAAGTATATTTTTAGAGACTCAAAAAGGTGAAGTAACTTCCAAAGTGTGTCATTCAAACTTAAGTTTGTGATTATAAAGTCAATGTTCTTTATCCTACATATAATCAGTGCTTTATTTACATTTGTTCCACATTCACCTATACCATTCCTTCCCCAAATTATGCAAAGAAATAAGATAAAATTAAACGAGAAGAGTTTTAAATAGACTTAATAAACTAATTATTTTACACCAAGAAAAATATTTATTACATAATTTTTCCTCACCTAAGGATTTACATACAAACCTAGAAATACTTAAGGCAGGACATAAAAACAAATGGCATGCCAAAGAAAAACTGGATTCAAAGAGAATCAGTTCCAGGAAAACTCCTAAAACTTTAAAGAAAACTATGCAAAATATATAAATGTAGCCATTGTAACTATTCAATCAATCAATCGATCAATCAATCAATCTTCATTGGATATTAACTAAGTGTAAGACAGAGGGGATCCACCAAGGAGGTAAAAGTAACAGGAAGCCTCTGCTCACAGGAAGCTGACAGCACAGATGGGACAGAAGACAAGCTCTAAAGGAAAACAGGCTGAAGGGGCCTAAATCTGACAAGTGAGGCACAAAGTACTGAAGAAATGCAGCAGAGAAACCACCCAACTAGGGAGTACCACGGAAGGGATGGAGAGAGTTTAAATAAGGAGAGAGGGTAAGAAGGGTATTTCCAGAGGGATAGGTATGATCTTTAAAAGAAAAAGGCACATTCACATTCATTTTGACTAAAGAATCTGGTACACATAGGGGAAGAGCCAGGTAGGAGTTACGCTCATAGTTTGGACCAGCTGTTGAGGGGCCATGAACATCTTGTTATGGACTGTAGGCTTTTATTTGGTGGGCAATAAGAGCCTTAGAAGGTTTTTTGAGCAGAGAAAGGGCAGGACTGAAGCTATGCTTCAGAAATGGACATCTGATCCCATTGTCTCAGATAGCCTAAAGAAGGGGTAAGGAGAGAGACCACCGTGGACAAAGGGGAAGGAAGTCCTGAACTGAAGGGGCAAAGGAAATGGAAAGGAGATGGTTATGAGAGGTAAAAAAACTAGAATGGATAAGTTTTGTGCCTGAATGTGGAGGCATGAAGGGAAAAAAAAGAGCAACCAAGGATGGCTAAGGTTTTGAGCTTAGTTAACTGAGAAATGGGCACATTATTACTAAAAGGAGGACAGCCAAGATAATCTATCTTACTGGGGAACACAAGGAGTTGAGGAATTTAATGTATTGGTGGGGTAACCCAGAGAACATGCCTGGGCAACTGCAAAGTATGGTAGAGTAGTCAGGACTATAGGTAGAAATTTAGGAGTCTCCTGAAAATTTTAAATGGGGATGAATCAAAATCAGCATTTCAATCAAGCTTGAGGGTAGCTGTACTTACACCACCAACAGAACTGTTCTGAATTTCTGTAACTCAATTCAAATAAAATAGTGACAGCTCCAATATAAGGGACACCTGAAAATATCTGGCATTTTATTCATATTGTTAAACCTAACACTGACAATTTAATATGGTTCAGTCAAATAAATAGAAGACCTAATAAAAGTATACTACTTTTTTAAAAAGTATCCTATCTCCTTTCTTTTTAACAATAGTTATCTCACTTATGCCAAACTTCAAAGGCTAGTTTTACTAAATGGGTTAATAGGGTGTTTCCATATAAGGTTTTAAAGGTAGAAGGGACGTTTACAGTCATTATTCCAACCTACTCATTTTACTGACAGATAATTTTGTAAAAGGTGAAGGAGAAAGCTTTCCTTACTTTTCACACTTTCTTTCCATAGCACCCACTCCCCTTTTAATTCAGTCACAAATTCAATAGTAAGAAGTAAATTAAAAAATGGATAAAGACATTTGTCCTCAGTCAAAAGCTATAACTGCATCAATACAATAGGTACTATTCGTGACTTTTAAGGAGACCGTGGGGGCCGGGCACCGTCACTCATGCCTGTAATCCCAGCACTTCGGAGGCCCAGGTGGGTGGATCACCTGAGGTCAGGAGATTGAGACAAGCCTGGCCAACATGGCGAAACCACGTCTCTACTAAAAACACAAAAATTAGCCTGGCATGGTGGCAGGCACTTGTAATCCCAGCTACTCAGGAGGCTGAGGCAAGAGAATTGCTTGAACCCGGGAGGCGAAGGTTGCAATGAGCCGAGATCGCGCCACTGCACTCCAGCCTGTGCCACAAGAGCGAAGCTCCATCTCAAAAAAAAAAAAAAAAGAGACAGTGGGATTTAGATTTCACCACCCAAATCAGCATCAACATATAAAAATTCATTACAATACTTAATGAAAAAACTCTGCTCTTTGACAAAGTTAACAATGAATTTAGAAGTATTTGTTACTATGAATTTTTTATTAAAATTTAAGTGCCAGTAACATGTACTCTGGATTGTATACTGGTGACAGAGAGCTTTGTCCTTAGAAATATGTATTCTTAAATTATCAGAATAATGATATTAAAAGTATTTACTTAAGAATTAATGTTTACTATAATATATCCAAATTGAAATCCATGTGAGATGCCATTTAATAAGCAGATTTTAGAGGATGAGATGCTCATTAAGGACACTTCCTTTTTCCTTTTTAAACCTGGTAGTGATATTTTTAAACCAAAGCCTTATGCATTTCATATATCAATTTTTCTTAACAATATTTAAACAACTCATTTTATCTTGGCTAACAATACAAACAGCTTCCATATAAAAGATAACAAAATCAAATATGGTGTATGTTTTTGAATTTTAGGCAGGGGAAAAAACCTCAGACTGAACCTTGAATAGAACTTGGCACAAAGGAGATGTTCGAGAAATATAGAGTGAACAAATGGATTGAAAAAATCATAAAAATAAATCTTAACATATTCATTTATTAATAGAATAAAGCTCTTAAAAATATGTAAGAATGAGGGACCAAAATTCTACGCAATAATCACCTTCATATTAGAAATGTATACATTCACATGTTTTTTTATTTAGGTTTGTTATTAAATATGTATTATTTTGGTGTTGAGGCACAATGTCATTGTACAACACTAATTAATACCTCAAATAGTCAGTGTTTGTGAGTTAATATATTCCATTCAACATTTTAATAACAGTAAACAAAAACAGCTCAGCTATGCAGTAAAATCCATCAAACCACACAGATGGTTATAAGGTTTTCATTATGTGGTTTCCATAGCAATCATATTGCAAATCTGGAAGCTTCTTGCAAATAAGCAGCTTGTATTTACATGCCTCTCAGCTGCAGCACAAAACTCTTCAACATGTGAAATTATTATTCCAATCACACATTGTTAGAAGAATCATCAGGAGATTTTTTTTTTTTAACAGGATGAAAATAACAGTACAATGAGCTAAGTGCAGAAGAAAATTCAAACATAGTCACACGTTTACTAAACTGATCAGTGAGAACAGTAGAAATGTTCTGGTAGTCATCAAAAGGTTTTAACCTGTCAAAAATATGAAACTTCCAGGAGCAATCAGATCCTGCAGAATTAAAAAAAAACCATAAACTGCACCCACCCCACTTTTTAATAGATATTCGGCCTTCTCTCTGAGTTGAGCAAAGAGAGGAAGAATGGCAAATAGTTTGAGTCTTCCCAAATCTTTTTAGCATTTGAGAAAAAGCTTACTGTGGGAAAAGTCATGGCCCTTTTTTCCCCCTTTTAACCTATTTAATTTACAAAATTGATCCAGCTCCGTAACAGATGGATTATTACCCCAATAAGGATTGCAAATCTGTCTAGCTATGAAGTTTTTACAAAATGGGCATTTATGGCTTACTAATGTTCTTATCTTCAGGATAAATAACCAAAAAGAAGAGTTACAAGCAAATGGCACCATTTAGCTGACATTGCTTGAAAAAGGGTTGAAGACAATTTGTTAGCACCAACTCAAGGTATATGATGTTCACATCAAGGCTGAGGACTGATTTTATCATCTCTTCCAGAGAGAAGAGGAAGACAATATAAAAAAATCTTTGACTTACAAAATGATCACCTTTCTCACTAAGCACCCTCAGAAAACAGCTTTACTAAATTATAATGTATTTTAAAACATGAAACAGAATCAAAAGTTAAGCTCTGAAATAAAGTTTGGTTTTAGATCTCTACCTGTCCAGGCATTATTTAGGTATTATATATTTTTCTCAGGAAATGTGAATATTTATTGCTTAAATGTTCACATTACATGCATTTATATCCATTATGTAACTAAATCCTCCAACAATTCTATGAGGTAATAATAAGTACTTTTATCATAACCATTTTATGAATACGAAAAGTGAATTTATGGAGCC